ATATAAAACTTTAATAACATGAAGTAATATAAAATAAATATATCAGAGAGAAAGAAAGAGAAAGAATGTAAAGAAGAGAATGATAGTCAGGAAGATAAAAAGAGTAAACGAGAGGAAAGTAGTACTTACAGAGAAAGAGATGCACGTATGGAACAGATGGGAAGAAAGAGAGAGAGAGAGAGAGAGATAGAAAAAGAGGGATATATGGAGAAGGAAGGAAAGGAACTCGTTTGTTCGTTGATTCCTCTTTGCATTCGAAGAGGAGAAGAGACGAGTGCCGACCACAAATAACTCGGCGCTATCTGTAAACTACGAGAGGGACGTCTTTGTGCGCATACGCCGCTTGGAGGCTTACGTCGTCGTCGAGTATACGAACGAGCTCTATAATCGTAAAAGCGAGAAAGCTTTTTATTTTCTCCTACTCCGTGCTGGGTATCCAGCTTCGACTCGGGTTTCTCTCTCACACTCACGTGGGCGCACGCGAACCATGGGGATAAACGGGATGAGATAAAACGGCTGGCCCTCCTCATTCTGACCCTCTCCTCTGATCTTTCCAAACGTTTCGCAGTTCTTCTCTCGTTGTTTTATATATAAAATAGAAAAGAGAAATTAACTGCGATCGAAGATCAAAAAGATCCATTTGAGGGGTTGGGGGGGGGGGAGGATCCGCGTATATTCTCGCGAAATTTACACTCCGACTGACGGTGAATTACGAATTTTTTGTTAGTTTCTCTTTTTTTTCGGGAAACAGGTGAAGACGGTTTATTCCTTTTTTAGAATACTTTTCTTGCTTTCAATATTTTTCTCGTGTTTCCTTAGTTTTTCTTTTTTTTTTTTATTCAACGCGATATTGTTGTGTAGAATTTTTGTGTCGAAGGTAAGCGTATTTATTTATTATTGGAATTTTTAATCTTTATCTATTGGCCCGATGTTACTTTACTCTATCACATATCGATTAATTATTATTAGTTTTTTTCTTTTATTTTTATTTTACTTCTTAAATATATGTCGCACGTAAAATGTCTTCTCTAATCTTAATATCGATTATTAATTTTCGCTTGAAATGTGAGTATAAATATAATAACTTTGTAAAATATTCAATTCTCTACCTTCCGTATTTATAGATTGATAGAGAATTTGTTGATTTAACGTTACATACATTTGTTTTCTTCTCTAATCAAGACAAAGATTCGACCCGTATAGGATTCAATTAATTAAATTGTTTGTATATGGGATAATTGCTTTACGTAATATACTACTTTTATTTATTTCAAATTTGGTTGTTTGATAAACTTAAATAATTATTCAATTACTCCTCAGGATTCAGTACTACTTTTATTTATTTCAAATTTGGTTGTTTGATAAACTTAAATAATTATTCAATTACT